TTTCTTGATGTAGCTTCTTTAAGTACTTAAAAAAATCCCCTCTATTACCTGTCTTACCATTTATCTGTATTACTCACTGGGAGAAAAAATTCCAAAAAATCTATGAAAGTAAAAATCAAGTCCCTTAACTACAAAAACGTTGTTCCACGTCCTGTGGCTGCTTGCCTGCTCACAGTACTCTCTGCAACAAAGCAGACATGGTCTGGGCTGCAGCCCCCCACAAACAACTGATTTTTGCACTGTTAACAAAACACAGTGGAAGAAAAAAACAACAGACATATCAAGGATGCTTTCTGAATGAACCCTCACCCACCAGGGTGGATCTCAGTTTGGATCCTCTATATTCAGAACTGGGATGCCATTTTCTGAGCTGAAAAAACCACCACCCTTAGCCATGCTAAGGAGGAATCAGACATATTAGGGGAACAGGTACAAGGAGTAAACTGGCATCACAGACTTAGCCTGAATCCGTTGCTGCTGCTTTCTGGACTCAGATTTCTGTCCTGATGTGCTTGCATTGCAACACTGAGCTATGAAGGCATGCACATATAAACCAGTCTCTGAAATCAGTTCTGTCACTTGCAGCTTCTATTGCTTGCTATGTATCCCCCTCTGCCCACACCTGGGTCAAGGAGCGTTCTGTTACATATCCAAGCCCCAAGATACACGTGTGCAATTTAAGCTTATCTGTGGGCAATAGTTCATAATTTACACACTGCCAAGGAATTAAGTTTCTGACATGTTCAAGAACTTGTTTGCTTCTCAAACAGTTCTAAGATGCTGATAGCCACCCTTGCCCAAGCAATTTTTATCTGTCTCATAAGAATTTTGCTGAGTCCCATACTACCTTGTGAATATATCAGTCTGAATGCCATGATTCGATGTCCTCCAAGTAGCCAAGAATAAATGGAATCTTAGTATTCTCCCATCAGAGACCAGCAAATGCACTGATAAATCATTCTGGTGGCTTGTCTTTTTCAGATAAGACAAGAATACATTAGATTCACACAATAGCATTGTTCAGGGATGGAACGATGACTAGTGAAGAATAACAAGCCTACAGCTCCATCTGGTGAGTCAGATAGCCAGCAACCTTGGCATACTGGAATTAGAATTTAAAAAAACCGAACAAAAACCACTTAATTGATTTCCAGGATTTATTTGCAGAATAGAAGAAATTAATAGGACACTAATTCTCAGGAACAAACCCTTAGAAGATACCTCTCAGGCCTGTTCTATTTTAAGTTTTACTCATTGGCCAAGCCCAGAAAGTAATTTCAGAAGAAACCTCTGTGCTATACTAAGTGAGATTGCATTCGATAGTCCCTCTGTGCTAAGAACATTATAGTAAACTAGCAGAACTAATTTTAAAAAAAAAGAAGGGAAAAAGTCCTGCTTCTATTTCTAGCATCAGAGATGTAATTAGTTCTGGACAACAGAAGACACTCAATGAAAATATTCAAATGATGAAAATACACATTGCAAATCTCCTTTCTGCTGTTTTCCTTTGCTTAGCAGAAGGAAGATATATTTGACACAAGTTTGTTTTTCAACTTGGAGAGCATGTACTGTTCTTATACACAGTGCTTTTCATCTTCAAAGCCTTTTATGAAGATTAATTCTCACATCACCAAGAGAGGTAAGCCAGGCATACTTAAGTTGTGGGAGAAAAACGTCTCCAATACTAACACAGGCTCAACATCCAAAAGTGGAATTACAATACAACATATTCTGGCTGCTAGTCCTGCATTTGGATGCTATTAATTCTAAGTCTGAAATAACGTCATGAAATGTTCGCTTTTCAGCAGCTAAATATTGCTACATTCTCTCATGAAGTATTTTGTGGCAGTACTTATGGTTCAGAGTAGCATGCTAGATACAACACTTGTCAACATTGTAATCTCAGCTGCAGGACCAAAGGATGAAGCAAGCACTCAAGAAAATGTTGGTTTTGCTTTGAATCTTAATTTTTAGTTACAAACTTCTCTCCTGTGCTTATGCAACAGCTGAGAAAGATTTAGTTCAGCATGAGAAGGTGAATTTAGTTTTACATATATCATTTTATCTATCTGGACTTTCTTCTCTGTTCCTTGCTATAAAATGCTAATAGCTTCTTGCCGCAACTCTTTCCTGCTCTCCAACTTCACTAACTCTTAAGTACAAAACCCCTAAGCTATTGCTTTTTCTTTCACTGTGCTGGATTTGACATGGTGGATATTTTTGTTCTATGATAGGTGCATATTTTACAGAAACTCTACCCCTTCTCTAGAGTGCGATCTACACAAAAAGTACCACACTGCTATTTAGGATAAACATATTAATGTAAATCCAGATCACACTATTTTAGCTATAACCAAGAGGTTTCAACTCCAAAACCGTAGTGTTGCTATTTGCAACAAACAACTGTTTTAAAAAATATCTTCCCCAATTAGCATGTTTGTAAGGAGCATCTCACAGCAAAGGGCAGGTGTGTGGTAATTTCAGAAGAATAAAAAGGTGTATTTCTTCCAATACTTTCTCAATTTCCTATTACATGGAAAGAAAGCCCTCATTCCCATTTTCATACAATCTTTCCTTCTACAATCATAAAGAGAAATTTAGACATATACAGCATATCATTATGGATTAGAGAAATACAAGCTGTTCTTGGCCAGCTAAAACAGGCAGAGGAATTTGCAGCATTACTGTACTTAAACAGCAAGATAAAAGAGGAAGGGTGTGATCCATTAACGGAGCAGTGGTCTGACATTCTACCTATTTTTAGCCTACTCTAAAAGCAGAGCTAGAAATGGTTTCATTACTGAGTCACCTATCAGTAACTCAAAATAGAATATACCGTCTTAGAGACCAATTTTTAAAATCAATTTATAGCATTGTCTTATTTATTCCTCTCCAACCTCATATCACAAAATGTTTGTTAAATCAGTTTTGTTCTAGTGATATAAATGGGCCAGAGCACCACTGAAGTTACCACTAGGAGAGCAGTGTCCTATGAATTAAAAGAACATCTTGAATGTAAGAACAAATTCCTGTATGTCTTGATGTGTCAGTATTTCTTGATACTGACAAATACAAAAACATCACCATAAAGTAAACAGAATCAATTTTAATAAACCATTCTGGTTTTAATCTGACAACTATTAGTCTTCTTACAAGCTATGGAGGAGTAACAAAAATCTAATGCCTAATGGTTTCTTACCTGTTTAATGGACTGGAATTTTTGACTTCTAAGTAATGGGTCAAAGACAAAGTGCATGCACATGAATCTCCATTTGTTTGGGTTTTTTTTTCCCTATAGTGCAGATAGGCATTATGAATACATGGTGTGAGATGAGATAGAAAAAAAAAATCTATACCCATAGTAAAAATTTTAAAAGGATGATTTATAAATAAGAGTGCAGTATGAAAAAGTATAGTGGAAAAGATAAGGCCAGTATTCCTATTCCCAAAGCTACTCAGCATGAAAGTAGTAACTAGGAATTTTGAAGAAGCAATTCATTTAATACTGATGTAATAGGAGAAAGCAAACAGGTATGTAACTAGCCAATGAAATTGACTACTGCTCGTTATTAGTGAACCATCCTGATTCAAAGCAAGCACTAAATACTGACTCACTGTAGGGAGGAAACACTATGTAGAGTGTTCCTCAGTTGTCCCTTTAAAGGATACAAAAGAGAAAAGGCTACTTGATTTGGCAGTTCCCATCCTATGCAAGGAAATAGAAATAAGCCTGGTCTTCAACCAGAATAATCACCTCAGAAGTTTAATTTCATGAAAGTTAGTTACCTAGCTATACAGAACTCCCACCCCCCCAAACCACACAACCCCAACAACGGAAGTAAAACAATGTAGGACCTTTGTGATTTTTGATTAGTGAATTGAACATACAAAACTAGATCTGGACTTACATGTGTTACTAATACAACAGTGTTTCTGTTTAAAATAGTGTTAAGATTTTCAAGCTAGAACTACAGTAAAGCACAGATAAAAGGGGAATATACAATCTCAGGTTCTGTTAGTCTAACCAACAATTCTGAGTTTGCAGTGGGAGATGCTTTGCATTAATACAGTGCTGTAACTCACAGGTAAGCATTTACACACAAAGTCAGGCATACTCTAAACAAAGCTCCCTCTCCCAACATTACAGTGACTCATTTCATCTGTATGTCAAACAGAATCAAGACATCATTTATTTTAATAGAAAGGAAATGTTTCCTATTCCATGTGGTACGTAACAGTGCTCATTTCTGTTTAACAATACCAGGCAAGCAATCGAAAAAAGTCAAGAGTGTACTTCTGCAAACTGCTTTGTAAACACACCTGTGCTGCCCTACTGGAAGTAATCTCCATATGTGCACATTCCCTTCAGTGTCAATAAACAGTGATAGTAAAGAAGGGAGAGAGACACTGTAATTCAATACAAGCCTCAGGACCCATTACGTTCTGATCCTTAGGACTTGATCATACATCCAGTACAAGCATTCCCAAATACAGACATTATTTCTTCCTTGCGCAAGTTTTTTCCTCAACATTTGCTCTTGACATTTTTTTCTAGTGTGACTTCAAAACAGAAATAAAAGAGCATTTAATATCAGACTATTTCATGTCAATCACAACAGCAAGAAGTACAGATGTTCTTTGAAATACAGTGTGCATCAAGATTGGGCTCTGAATGGCTTTACTACCACACACTGTGTATTGCATAAATCCACACTAAACACAAAACTGCATACACTTCATTTTACAAGCAAGTGCATCTGTCCATTTGTATATATGCTTCTCCATTCCTTGAAGCTCCTACACTCAAACTTTAGGCACCTGTGTGCATGAAAAAGAAGCTTTAGAAAATACAGTACTTCAATTAAGAGAGAGTGATGTGTTGGGGCTTTCAGAAAATGGTGCTCTGGTAGGATACAAGACAAGGCTTAAATGAATCACACTCAATGTCAATGCAAACCACATATGCTACAGAGTCTGCAGGGGGCTCTGAAATACATGCGAAGGCAGCTGTCACCACTGCAGTTACCCCTCTAAAAACACCTCTTTATTGCAACAGCTCTGAACAGTGACACACTTCTGTGCCATCTTGAAAGACAGACTCAGAGTCCAAGAAAGATACTTCCACTAGACAAGAGCAGGAATTCTGTCTCCCTCACATTATGTGATTTAGCTTGGTGGTTGGGAATCTAAAGCACCTAAGACATTCTCTGATGGTTTGAGAAACTTCAAAAAAATACTGCAGTGCTCTGCTCTAGGGCTTCAGTTTGCCCTCCTTCACTAATTGCTCATTGAGCTGGCAAAGCTGCCTTAGAAAGCCATCATTGGGGCCAATCTCTCGCTTCTGCCGGACAGTGCTCAACGCAGACTTGACATCCATATTCTGGCGAAGCATGAGGTAGGCGATCACGAGTGTAGGAGAACGGCTGTAGCCCTCACGGCAATGCACAAACACTTGTCCTGCAGGGAAGACAGGTCATAATTTGAGTTCTACTGGAATATATGTTTGAAAAGCAACATGAAATAGCTAGGATATAAAGCATAATAATATTAGTGCTTCAGCAGCTTGAAAACTGTAAATGCTGAATACTACAGAAGACATGTAGACCTTGGAAAAAAGGTGCTATCACTCTGTTAGTAGCTACACAGTCTGTCATCAAGGATAATGCAGAAAAAGAAAAGGTTGTATATCAAACATTCACGCTAAAACATATTTGCTACTATATTACAAAGTCAAACTGTGTCTATTTACACTTCTCCAATCTTTTGTGGTTTAGAATAAGCCCTACCCCTAAAGATGATCAGTACCAAAGAGCACAAATAAATGATGTAAAGTTCAAAATACACTGAAGACAGAGAAATACGCTGTCTGTCATATATTGCATCTCTTCAAAGTTATGCAGCTTTTTTGCTGCATTGCTGCCAATTCCTATGCTAACTCACTGTTGGATCATATCTGGCTACTTCTCTGCCTAGTTATGAAGCCATATTAACACTCAAGTAAATTAAACTGCTGACTGTGCAGCAACAAGAACCAGAAACATCTAATCACACCTGTGCCAGCACCAGTAAAATGCTTCCAGCTAACTGATTAGGGAACTCATTCTACATATTTGTTGGGTTGTATTGGGTTTCCATGGCAAAGTTTGGGCCGGGCAGGGCACGAGGGCACAGGGGTGGCTTCTGTGAGAAGATGCCAGAAGCTTCCCCCATGTCCAACAGAGCTAGTGCCAGCCGGCTCCAAGACAGACCCACCACTGGCCAAAGCTGAGCCCATCAGCGACAGTGGTTGTGCCTCTGTGATAACATATTTAAGAAGGGCAAAAAAACTTGCTGTGCAACAGCAACTGGGAGAGGGGAGTGAGCATATGTGAGAGAAACAACGCCGCAGACACCAAGGTCAGTGCAGAAGGAGGGGGAGGAGGTGCCCCAGGCACTGGAGCAGAGATTCCCCGCCACTCCCTGGTGCAGCCCATGGTGAGGCGTCGTGGCCCCCGGTAGCCTGTGAAGGCCCACGCTGGAGCAGATCCCCACCTGCAGCCCAGGGAGGACCCCACACCAGAGCAGGGGGATGCCTGAAGGAGGCTGGGACCCCGGGGGAAGCCCGCGCTGGAGCAGGCTCCTTGCAGGGCCTGTGGCCCTGTGGAGAGGGGAGCCCAGGCTGGAGCAGGTTTGCTGGCCAGACTTGTGACCCTATGTGGGACTCAGGCTGGACCAGTCTGCTCCTGAAGGACTGCACCCTGGGGAAGGGACCCAAGCTGGAGCAGTTTGTGAAGAACTGCAGCCCATGGGAAGGACACATGCTGGACAACGATCTCCTGTGGGTGGGACGCCATGCTGGAGCAGGGGAAGAGAGTGAGGAAGAAGGCATGTCAAAGACAACATGTGATGAACTGACTGCAACCCCCATTCCCCATACCCTTGTGCCACTTAGGGGGAGGAGGCAGTGAAAATCAGGAGTGAAGTTAAACACGGGAAGAAGGAAGGAGTTGGTGGGAAGGTGTTTTAAGATTTGGTTTTATTTCTTATTATCCTACTCTGATTTGATTAATAATAAATTAAATTGCCTTCCTCAAGTCAAGTCTGTTCTGCCTGTGACGGCAATTGCTGGGTGATTTCCCTATCCTTATCTTGACCCACGAGCCTTTCATCATATTTTTCTCACCTTGTCCAGCTGAGCAGGGGGAGTGAGAGAGGAGCTTGGTGGGCACCAAGATTAATCCAGCCAAGATTAACCCACCACATGGGTAAATCCTGTAGATAAGTATCCAACAATAACAAAGCAGGCCACTGCTCCCTTTGAGAAATCTAACTTGATTTTATTGCTTCTTCTTTGACCTGCTTTTCCAGACACAAAAATTTTCCCCTTCCCAAATGCAGTGGGAGATATGACCCCAGGCTACTCTCCAGAGTAAATTTTCTTCTAAGACAAGAGACCAGATGAACTATACACACACATTTTCATCATAACCACAACTCGCGTTGAATGATAGCAACAGAAAGCCTGTGACTACATTCGCCTTGAGCTGCAGAGGCTTCTCAGCTCAAGGGAAATCTCTAATCAATAGCAAGTTACAACAGCTAAAACAATTAATTCTCAACATTTCTTGAGAGCCCATAGCCATAAAGTAGCAAGATTTAGAGATTCTTGATCATACACATGGAAGAGAATTGACTTCCCCTCTGCAAATGATCAGAAGCAAAAGGGTTTCTAGCCTTCCTCTGTGAAAGGCAGTGTGTTAAAGGTCTGCCGTCCAGACCTTTAGTATATCAGACCTGCCTTTCATAACTTCATGCAACTACGATAAAATGAAATTGAAGGAAAGTACTACTGCATCCCTCTTCACTGTCCTTACTCTACACTTCAATGTCAAACAAAACTATCAAATTTCAGTAGTGAGTTAATCTTAAACCTGGCTCCAGCATCACCCAGCTACAAAGTTCCTCTTTGTTTACCACACTAAGAAAACAGCGGCAGGCATGGTAGACAACTACTAAGACTGAAAGAATCAGCAAACAGAATGGCTACTGTAAATTCAGATTGACTCTGCAACTGTTTAGATCAAGCTGAGTAGGCACTGTTAAATTCTTCTTTCCCACTGCAACCTGTTTCAGTGAGTCACAATTCCAACTGTAAGAGTTGCATTTCAATTTTTAGAATCTTCATACTCCACCAAGTTGGAGGTAAAATTTCTTTCCATCTGTCAAAAGCACATCACAGTTCTAGTACCTCTTTTGCCCATTTCAGAGAAAGAAATTCTAAAATTGTGGGAGTTCTTGTTCCTCCTTTTTCATGTTCAGTCATGAAGCAAGAAAGAAATTAAGCATGGTATGCTGAAATAGACAACACCACCGTCTGGCCCACTGCACTATGTCCTAGGATTTCTGCTCTGAGGAAACACACTGTAGAGAAATGTGGCAATCAACAATATTGAAAATATCATCTCCAGCTTTCCTGCAATCCTAGGGAATAAAGAAGTAATCATCACATAAAATAATTTAATGACTTAATGTAGTAAGAACTGTAAGGCCACAGTCTCTATCCTTACTGTACATTTGGAAAGAAAACCCATATAGCAGGTTGTCTGAGTACTCTTTAGCAATGCATTACTTGGATCACTTCCGCCTTTACTTTACAATTTCTAGTGTCCTAAAACTACTTTTAGATCCTGAACTTATTTTTTTTATGTGATTTACCACTTCTAAGGTAAAATAAGAACACATCTTCCCAGAAAGGCACTATTATAGGATGCAGCAGCTGTTTCACTCTTCAAAGTGACCCCTACAGTGACAGACTTCCATTTGCCATGTACTGGAGACCTACATGTATGGACAGAAGATTAAGGTGTCTTATTGTGTATGCTGGTGTCTTTGATCCAGAGCCTTGATCTGAATTCCTGTCTTGGTTGTTCAGCCGATAACCTGAGCAAAGAACCATTTTAAACAGTAAATTGCTAAGAAAGATATGGAATGCACAGAAAACATGGTAGCAAGATATCTCAGTTTGCCTTACCATCCTTTTGGGAAAGTGCTTTCTCAATAAAATCAGCTGCCTCCTCAAAATAGCGACTGAGGTTAAATTCTTGTGTATCGTTAGCTTTAATGCCATGGTATCTGATGCCTGTGCCTTCATAGAACTCTGCATTAGTGTTGACATGCATGAATGACTTCCCCTCTGCTGCATTCAGAACATGGGTTATCCCCAGACGCTGCAGCCTCATAATGTTCTTGGCTATGAACCTGTACGATAAAAAGTGTCAAGAAAACGATTAGAACTTGGTGAATCATTTCAGTATTTATGTTGTCCCCAAAAGGTACTGACAACCAAACCCTTTGATTTTTCTGTTGATTCATGCTAAATATACTGTGCCCAGAAGTGAATTAGCTACAGATTATACATTCAAAGAAATGTTTAGAGCCACGGTCACTACTCGTGCATGAGAGAACACTGCTTTCTTGGCTGACAACCAAGCAAAGCACACATGAAACTTAATCTGTTAGACCCTACTATGGCATAAAATTATAACTCTTTCTGAACATAAAACTCTGACCAAATGAAGAAAATACTGCAGATAACAGAAAGCCCAGGATAGTAACTTCTAAGACTAACTGTTATCTACATACGATAATTTAAAAAACAGCTGTAAAAAGCCTCTCTGTCATCTACCAGTGTTGCAGGGCTACGTAAGCAGTACTTACTACTCTAGCAGACAGTCAAGACAAACAGATGTTTTAGGGCACAGTTTGAACCACTGTGAAACAGCACTGTCTCCTTCTCAGGCCACACGAAGATAGAAAGTAACTATGAGTAAATGTTCCTGCATCTTCAAAGGTCTCATCTGAAGACTCCTATGAGGTGTAGGCCTCTGTCCCTGTACTATTCAACATCTCTGAAGTCATGGAAAGATCTGGCTAGGCTATCCAAAGGCCGGCAATACAGCGATACCACTCAGTCTTTGCCACTCAGTGTTTTCATCACAAGTATTACAATTTTTAGTGTCTCACTTGAAATCAATAGCTGAATCAATCTGAAAAGAATCCAGATGAGTGATGTGTGATGCTTAAAGGCCTAAGAAGGCATTCAGTACGTTTAGGTCAGCTAAGCCCTTTCCAGCTTCTCAGTTAAATCAAATAATTGTAGCAAAACCACTTGCTTCCATATTTGAGCGGCTAAAAGAACACCCTATCCTATTAGTGAACAATTGAGCAGGATGATACATAATAATCATGCTTTTCAGGCTTGCTGATGACAATGAATTTGATCCAGTAATAGTGCCATAAGCTCTGATAAAAGCTCCAGGTTGTACAATGGCAAACAATCCATCTGCTTAATAACACAACTGATCATGCACAAATCTCTACTCGTGCACTGGAACACAATCTATAGTAAGAGCAGACAGCTATTAAATAATATGAGGAGACCATTGACTCCTTTTTGTCGTAAAACCACTACTTTTCATTCTGAGTCTGATTATTTCCATATGTCAGTCCCAATATTTGCCTCACTTTGCTGGGAAGAAAAAGAAACCCGTATGTTTTACCACACCATGGCCTCCTAGTAAAATATGAGCCCATTGGTCAACATTAGCAGAATGTGACAGGCGGCTTTAGTTGAAAGAAAACTCAGTTTCTGTACACTTTGTGAAAAGAGGTAGCCTAAACAGACAGAAATCCCTTTATTGTTTTTAAAGGCAGCTTTCACTATATGTTTAGCTGGATGTGGAAACAGAAATCTTTTATAAAAACTGCAAATACAAGGAGCCTTAACATTAAGCTGAGATCCAGATAAGAATTTGTGCAGTACCTTTTTGGACAAGTTTCTAAGAGATGGCAATGCACATAAGGGTTTTGGCGGGACACTCAGCTATTCTAAAAAAGTTAGGATAAATACCAAAATTAGTTGGTTTCTATCTACATGATTCTCTGAGTGCATTCACTCACAATTTGCACATAATTCAAGGCTATATGAACATCTAGAGCGTTCCTTTTCTCCTGACGACTGTTTACCCCTTAAATTGTAGTGTAAGCAGATGAATGCTTATGCGTGAGTGAAGCTTCTACATTTTCTGCTGTCTGTGCCAAACAACTATGGCAATGAGCCAAATATTTGTAAAGACTTCATTACCCAAACAAATGTTGACAAATTTTCCATCTGGCAGGACATCATCTGTGGCAGGGGACAAGTATCAGTGCCTGGGGAATTCTGCTTGCAACACAAAAGTAAATCCTACAGAGCAAGGCCAAAACAAAAAGTGTTAATTCAGCTGTGAGTTCCTAGGCTTAGTGGGGTGAGTATGTGGTTTAAGTAATGGTATATAGATCATTGCATATCTGATAGTAGTCAGGATCAATAGGAACTTGTGTCCTGGAATCGTGGTTGAATCTGGCAACAGACTGGCTCCCATGCAGGCAAGTTTCATTCCCAGTGAATGATTTTTGCAGATTTTATAGATTATTTTCTTATCTTCTTAGAGGTAAAAAAAGAGAGTATTTGTATGCCCTTTTTTTCCCCCTTTCCAAACAGTCCTTGGATCTCTCCCATCCTTAACATTTCATTCCAGCCGCATGATGTTCAGTGTTGCAATGCTAGCTCCTCCAAATAGCATAGAAATGCTAACATCAGCTTCTTCTTCCCTAAGAAAAATTACAGAATCTTGTTCGTTCTCAATATGGAAGATTGAGAGTTCCTCATCCTGTGAGTAACTCTAGTAAGAAGTGTTTCTTTTGAACAGAGTTGAACAATTTTACCAGTCACAAAACACAGGTCTTGGAGAACCATGCATCAGCAATTAAAGGTACATGAGGCTATCAAGTATTGCCATATGGGATTATACACAAATAAACCAAGCCCTTAATGGCAAAAAATGCCAGCACATTAACACATTTTAATTTCCACTGATATGTTCATGCAAAATTGTTTCCTCACCGCTTCTTCCCTTAGAGTCACTAAATTTAATACCAATATTGGGAGAATTCTTTTCAGACTCCTTACAACATGCCTGCACTTCTAACACATTAAGAACAAAGAATTGCTTCATGAGTTACCCATACACATTCAAGCAGACAGAAAACTCATATTGGGTATTCGTAACCAGAATATTTTTACCAAATGCAGCTCTGGTTTGAATTGTTACAGGCTTCCAATAGTCTGTGGAAAAAACCCACAAACAGATTCCCTTAGCCAGTCGTTCAGAAAGCTTGCTTGCTTGCTGGCAAAACACGAGTTTTGACATGACACGGTTGCTCTGAATAAAAACCCTATCCCCCACTGTGTTGATTGGTCCCCCCATTTTGGTGCCATCTGCAACCCTGATAACGATGCATTCTGTCCAGCTGTCCCGGTCACCAATTAAGATGTTACACTGAAACACATCTTGACTTGTACAGAAATAGAAAATGATTTGTACTTCCAGTGTATCCTTAGTTCTTATTTTGTTATTGCTTGAAAAATACATAATTGTGCTAGTCTGTCACCTATATAATAATTTTTGCTTTAGTGATATCACATTTTTACTTGTCTTCACAAATCTTGTCAATTCTTGAGAGGTTAGAACTGTCTACTGTAATAAGCAAACCCATTATTTTAAAAATATTTTACCATTTTTACCTCTGAGCTTTCATTAATTATGACTTTCATGTATTGCATGGAGGACCTAGTACTTTGGCTCTCTCTGTAACTTGAAGTCATTTGACAGGTAAGTTGTTATTCTACACTATGACCCAATTTCATCTCTTTGGCCTGAATGTCTGTGTTGTCATTTTCATCTAAAGATGAGTTACTCTTCAGGAGAGACAGCAGCACCCCTATGCAAAATATTCTAAAAGGTTTCCAACACAAGCTTCTGAATCTCACTAAGACATTTTCATTTTTTCCTGTGAGTTCCTGTTCAACTTCTACTGCTTTTATGCTATGCATTGGGATTCCAATGCCCTCATGTTAAAACTCTACAGATACAGCTACTCTGTGAATTCTTATTGTTACAAAATCTCTGCTGCTTGTAGCCATAAATACGGCCCTATATTGCAGAAAGTTTTGATCCATCCAAGTCAAAGCAGAGATTTGAATGTCAGATCAAATGACTGCATTACTTTGTTCTCCTGCTATACTGCCTTCCTGAACTTCCCTGTAGCCCAATGCAAAGTGCTTCCATCGACTCCTCAGAGATTCAGTAAGGAGATTTGTGCACATGGTTAAACCACGATCTAATATCCATATTGTTACTTCACTCATTCTTGACATTCCAGTTTATTCCACTCATCTGACATACAGTTATTATACCAATGGTGTAACTGGGCTTCCGCAGATGATACTGTACATACACCTCGTGGCATCTTGTCTCTCCTCCCTCTTCTGTGTGGATAACCACAACTTGTTAGCAAGAGTAGAAAGTATCAGGAGAAAAAAAAGCCCAGCGCTGATACAACTGAGCAGGTGTGTTTCATTCTTAAGCAAATTAATTAGTTTTAACCTTGTTTCAGCTCTATTTTAGCTTAGATTTGAGACTTCAACAGCGTACTGTACATTTTAACAGATGCCATCAGGAGCTATGCCTCGTCACTTGCCGTGTCAGGCACTAGCAGAAGCCCCAGGCAGCCTGCTGCCAGGCTGCTCAGGCCTTGCAGCCGAACTCCCGGCTGACAGATCCTCTAAGCTGGAGACCCTCGGGCTGCACGGCCGCGGCCAGGCTCCGGAGGGCCTCCTGGGGCCCGCACAGATCCAGCAGCTTCCGCCCTGCAGCCTGACTTCCTCCGGCTCAAACTCCCGTTCAGGCGGCTACTCAGTGAACGCCCTGCGTCTCACAACCCTGCACGGCCTACCCCAACCTCTGCGCTCAAGTGCCTACGAGAACGCCGCTCACAGGCTTACAAAGCCGGGCCCCCCCTCCTCCACGGCG